GGTTGGTTGTGCATCTTTTTCTTCCACACTTTTTCCTTCCACTCAACTTTCTGTTAACATGCTTGGATACAGCACTCTGTGAACAGCCAGCTTCTTTGGCAATTAATGTTTGTGGCTTACTCTCCTTGTGAAGGGTGTCAATGATTGTCTTCTGGACAACTGTCAGATCAGCAGTCTTCCCCATGATTGTGTAGCCTAGTGAACCAAACTGAGAGACCATTTTGAAGGCTCAGGAAACCTTTGCAGGTGTTTTGAGTTGATTAGCTGATTGGCATGTCACCATATTCTAATTTGTTGAGATAGTGAATTGGTGGGTTTTTGTTAAATGTGAGCCAAAATCATCACAATTAAAAGAACCAAAGACTTAAACTACTTCAGTCTGTGTGCATTGAATTTATTTAATACACGAGTTTCACAATTTGAGTTGAATTACTGAAATAAATGAACTTTTCCACTACATTCTAATTTATTGAGATGCACCTGTACTTCCTTTTATTGTCATTTGTTTATTTTAAATATTTGTTTATTTGCTATTTTTTCCCCAAACTTTTTGTATTATTTTAAATGCATACATTTAATTGTATCTACTATTTATTAATGCATTTATTGATTAGTTTATTCACGATTAAATACTCTTGTGTGTCTAAATACTAATAATTAGTTTAATTAAAATGCTGAATTATTTCATATATAAAATATATTGAAAATATATATAAATATATATAAAATGCTTAATTTTTTATTTACTGTGTGTGCGTTTGTGTGTGTGTGTGTTTTACTCAAACGATTAAAAAACACAGAAAACGCAAAGACATATCAGGCAGCTTAAGTAAAACACATGTAAGCATGTTCATTCTAAAATATCAACAGACACACACACACACAAACAAATAGAGCTAATGAAGACATAAGTATAGCATTTTTCTTTATCCAATCAGCATTAATATTATTACCCTAACAAAAAAACACACAAAAAACGAGGAGGAAATTTAAAGATAGGCTACGCAAGAAAAAAGAAAACTGAAACATAATAGCGCATATAAATAATTAGCCTATAATAATAATAATAATAGAATTATAAATAATAGAAAGTGATCATAATTCAACTTGTTATTCTTGTCGTTACAAATGAGTTTAAAAGTTTTTACAAGGGAAATATGAGTAATAAAGACATTAAATCTAGGCATCTAAATCTAAGTCTTGAGAAAATTGTTTTTGTGACTAAAAAAAATGTGCAATGTAACAAATAAATTAACAACAAGATCAATAGCCATGGTGACTGCCAGAAACATAAATATATCTTTCAAAATGAAAGTCTAAAGCACAGTTTATCCATCTTAGTAGCTAGTAGTACGCTCAAACCATTAACTACTACAGTGTATAGTTGGACGTCGTGAAGCATCGACGGCATAGTAACTTTCTACCACTAGAGGGCAGTAGAGTAAATAACTTTTTACCGCCGCCAGAGAGCTTCACGGCAGTAAAGGATGATAGTAAATAGCTTTTCAGTTAGTAGCCTAGTCCAAAAACCAGCACAAGAGTGAGTACTAGTAGATTATTATGTCTTTCATATTACTTTGGGTAGTGATTTGGGAGTTTAGTTTTATTCAGCGATCACATTCTTCCCATTAAAAGTTACCGAATATGGTAAAATGTATTTTCAGGACATAAAATATGATGATACAAGAACATCCTGTCAGGGTTTATTTTGTGATCATCATGTAGGCCTACGTTAGTAGAGTTACAGTTGAAGAACTTAAAGAAATGACCACCACAAACAAGTTATTGGCTTTATAGTTATTGTCAAAACAAACATCTTACAATAACATTTAGCAACATGATATAATCTATTTTATTATTTTTTTTTTTTTTTTAAATACTTAATAAAACATTTTGCTTCATTACACGAACAGGCACATGATTTAAAATGGCTTTGGTTTGTAAAAAGTTTACAATAAATTACAATCAGCAACATTTGTTAAAAAACATTTGGCTTTTTTTGGTCATTGCACATATAATGTCAATAGGAAAACCCCCTTAGTGTGTTCAGAATGATAAAATAATGCCTTGGGTGTTATGCAATTAAACAAAGCATTTTGTTTTTAAATAAGAAAACATCTTGCATAGGCAAAGTACAAAAGTAAACAAAAAACAATCAGATAGGCCTACATTAAACATTAAAACAGCTTAAACAGCTCATTTTAACATAAGTACAGTACAATGGGATCTCTCAAAACTCATGTTTGCAGTCAGTCAAAGTTTAGGCTTAACAGTCTGAATTTACTTTTTTTTTTTTTGTGGACGTCAAATTGTTAAATACAATTCAAAATGTTTGCAAAAGTCACAGTGATATTATCACAGATGATCCACCTCGTCCTCAGTAACCCAGAGGAGTCATCAGAGAGATATTCAAGCTAAAGGTGAGACATTAAACTTTTGATCCTATTTTACAATACAGGATCATGGAGACAATCATCGCTGCAAGCTGAGAATGAGAACAGAGAGAGAAACAATTCTGAGTTTAAATAAAAAGCATTAGTGTCACAGTGCTTCACAAATGTCATAAAGGGCTTTTTATTTCTGTATATACATAGATTTAGTTTGAAATTATTATCCTAAGGGAAATAAATGCTTTAATCATCAAAGACTACAGGCAATCCAAATTTACTCCATTTATTTCCTTAAAAGGAGTAGAATTTGCTGACAATTTAACTCAGGCCATCCAAGATGTAGATGAGTATGTTTCTTCATCAGAGCAGATTTGGTCTGATGCTCAGCAATGGATCCTCTGCAGTGAATGGGTGCCGTCAGAATGAGAGTCCAAACAGCTGATAAAAACATCACAATAATCCACACCACTCCAGTCGTGAAGTGAAAAGTTGCATGTTTGTAAGAAACAAATCCACCATTAAGACATTTCAACATTTAAACCACCGATTCTGGACAAAATATCCGTCCATAATTCATAATAACGCTTCGTCCAGTTAAAAAAGTCCATCCCCTGTTGTCCTTTGACATCAAAATCCACTGACATATACTTGTAAATGGCGCTTGATCTGTGCATATTTCTCTCCTGAATCAGACGAGAAGACTTTTTCACTGGAGAAAGCAATATTACGGATAGAGGACTTTTAAAAATGTCTTGATGGATTTGTTTCTTACAAACAGGCAGATTTTGTCTTCACAAGACTGTAACTGATGGACTGGAGTGGTGTGGATTACTTGTGGATTATTGTGATGTTTTTATCAGCTGTTTGGACTCTCATTCTGACGGCACCCATTCACTGCAGAGGATCTATTGCTGAGCAAGTGAATGATTCCTTTAAAGACAACAGGAAATCAAAACTGACCATATTTATTTGCTTAATTTATTTGCTTAAAAAAGTGTGATAACTGAAAGTGATGAAAATGTAGCATACCTTTTAGCACATTTTCAGTATCTCATCAAACGTGAACAACTCTTTCATTTAAAATGTGAACACAATGACTGACAGACAGAAAGAAAGTGTGTCCGGTACCTCAAGAACAGCGATTCCCAGTGCTACAGCTATGAGGATAACTGCATTATCATCTACCAGCTTCTTCAGTGCTGGGAAACAACCTGGTATAGTCTGAGGAAACCAAACAAGTAGACAAAAGTTTATGATATTTATATGCTAGCCTGTATGAGAGAAAAATCAAAAAGCATGCAAACTAGAATTGATTCAAGGAATAAACATGCTAAGAGATAAACCCACCGAATGAAAAGCTGTGATCTCAATGCATGGAACTTTATTACAGCACTGAACTGGGTAACTCTTGGTGTCGTTCACAAAGTAAGAATTTGTGAAGTCTGTATAGTTGTTGAATCCACAGCACTTCAGCTAAAGCAGAGACAGGAGAAATAAAGAGGTTTGACATTAGCTAAATTCAGCCAAATATACTTGAAATGAATGGACGTTAACATATAAAAACTTATTTTACTTGTTTATGTGTTGTGGTACACTTTTAAAGACTGTTCTTATGCAATACCATTTTTATATGAGGCACATGTCTCAAAATATCAAATGCACAATATTAAACTGGATGATGCTTACGTATTATTTTATTTGAGAATTTTTAGGATTTTGTTTAATTTGAAGAAATATTCTGTAATGATAATAATAATTATACAACTACTACTACCAATAACAATGGTAGCCTAATAATAATAACTTTTATTTCCTTCTTTATCAACAAACCGTGGTCATGGTCGTGTTCCATAGTCCAGTGACGTCCTTATTTTTCCCATAATCGTTTTTCATGCTTTTCACAACTTCGCTTCCCATCTGTTTTATCAGGTTTTCAGCCTGAAATACACAAATGAGGAGGTTTGAGTATTTCCTTAAGTTCTTTACACACAAAGGAGTATGTTTAAATATGGTGTGTACAGACTTACCAGAGGCTTAAAGACCAGCAGCACAATCGCTCCAGCGACTTCAGCAATGAACACAATCAGAATAATGATGAAGAACTGAGGAGAGAGATTGACAGACAGATTCAATGAATGAATCAATGAACAAACAGAAGTCCACCACAGTATATGGCCAGTATATACAATTTAATATAGAAATTACGTAATGTTTTTAATATAATGTGTGTGTGTGTGTGTGTGTGTGTGTGTGTGTGTGTGTGTGTAATACCATTTTTAACCATTTTAAATGGAACCATTTTTGATTCCTCAAAGAACTTTTCAGTGAACACTAGTTTTTAAAGGAACCTTTTTTTTCTTAATGTAAAGAACATCTTAATAATCTAAAGAACCTTTTGTGGAGTTGAAAGGTTCTATGGATGTTAAAGTTTCTTCCTAGCCAAAGATGCCCAATAAGATGCTTTATTTATTAGAGTGTACACATTGTGGGAAACTCATTATGTGTTGTTTCAGTGTTGTTTCTTTGACATACCAGCAGCAGCATGCACCTGCTTTCTTTGATCGCTCCACAGCAGCCCAGGAAGCCCAGGATGAGCAGCACAGCACCCACTGCGATGAGGAGGTATCCCACGTTCAACACCTGCCCCAGCTCACCTGGAGCTCCTTGTGTATTCTGCAGAAAACTCAGGATAGACCCACTGTCCACCTTCACCCAGATCCCCACACCCAGAATAGCTGCTCCTGCCAGCTGCACAACAAAAACACAAATAGATTTGATTTAAGCATGTGCATTGATCCTCATATCAACACCCTCAATGTATTTGGACCAAAAAAATCGAAAATGCCACTGTTGAAAAAGCAGACAAGATATTTATTCTGTGTCTGCAGCAGAGGCGTGTTTTATAAGCTTGCAGCAATATGATTTGCATTCAACCCAGCTAAGCCACATGGAAATGAGATGATTTGCTTGTTGGTTGTTTTTATCTCTTACATAGATCTAAAGAAAAAGTGACCTTTTCATCGCACTTCAATATACGAGTCAATATCTGCTAAGGGGTAACAATGGAATGGCAGTTTTAAAAAAGGGATTTTTCATTATTACAACAGGATCTGCATTTTCATGGATTTAAATAAAAGACTTGTTATAAGAGACAATAAGAACCACTCTTTTCCTGGTTAAAAAATGAATTTGATTTTCAAAAGTTGAATTTGCGACAGCTTAATGCAGGGCTGCCCAAACTCGGTCCTGGAGGGCTGGTGTCCTGCAGAGTTTAACTCCAGCTTGCCTCAACACACCTGCCGCCTAGTAAGAGCTTGAAAAGCTGCTTCAGGTGTGTTTGATTAGGGTTGGAGCTAAACTCTGCAGGACACCGGCCCTCCAGGACCGAGTTTGGGCACCCCTGGCTTAATGTAACAGTTTTGACAACATGTCAGTCTCTGAGTAACATCATTTATTTAAGACACAAAAAAACTTAATTCAGTAAAATAAGTATGTCTTATAATAACCAAAAATCAAGTTCACTCCTTATGCATGTTATCATGTCCGTCAAAAACTAGTTGGCGGTTGGAATATTAGAACTAAAAACATCCACATAACACTCTCATGGGCATCGATCACTTCACTGAATACTTGCTAAGAAATAAATAATTATTACCTATGAAAATGGCAGCCTGAGTGGCTTCAACATGCTGTCTGTCAGGAACCGTAACATACCTAACACACATGAGTATACATTTGTTCTTCACTCTCTGAAATTGACAGGTGGTTTAACTTTTCTCAACTTCTCAGTTGTTTACAAGATTAAGGCAATTATCAAAGTTTGATAACTTGGACAACTGGTACATTTTACACGATTTGTTGCATTTAATTACCCCTTTGCAGATTTGGGAAAATAGCAGCTGAGATATGCGAAACATGGCCACAGTCACGGGACATTAAGCAGGTAAACCTGACGTGATCCGATAGAATTATTTTAAACATAGTCAAATGAAAAACCAGTGTAAATCAGGCTGGTTATTATAATGCTGAGTAACGTGTGCAATTAATATTTAACATAATCAAACAAGCATGAGCTTTACTTACAAAGATGATACCATTGAAGAGAAACATCATTGTTTTCAAAACTCCAAAGCAACCCATTTTAATTGGATGTATATGACACCTGAAAAAAAAAAAATATATAATAACAATTAACAACAAATAACTTTTTTTTAATAATAATTATTATTATGGGGCTTTTGTTTTGCCCAAACACTCATTTTGTGTATTATTCCGAAATTAATCTTAATCTTTATTTTAAAAACGTACAGTTTTTAATAAATGAATAAACACAATCGCTTGGATGATTTTGTGAAACAAAGTAAACCTTAAATCCAGGAAATGCTGTGAGGAAAAGACGGTGGTTTTGCTGTAGTAAATAATCTAACTACAACTCTCATTAACTGGTCTCACAGGTCAAATGTTCATGTGAACCTATACACACTCTTTAATAAGCCACTCTTGAAAAGTAAACTTAAAATATTTTCACACTCTAAAAATATGCCTCACTTTAAAGCTGCAGTCCGTAACTTTTTTGTGTTCAAAATTTATATAATAAACGAGTACACCATGAATCAATTTTCCAAACCATGTTTTTGGCTTGTCCTGGATCACTACGGTACACCTATAATAAGTGTTTATATTCGGACTATTTAGACTGGTTCGGGTAGGTACCGCTGCGGAGTAGCCCAGTACCTGCGTGATTCGCCATAGACATAAACAGAGAGAAGTAGCTCCGGCTACAATGTTCTTCCGCAAGACGCAC